CCCCCCCCCCCCCTCCTCCACACGCTCTACTCGGGTAGACGTAGGGTAGGCTGGTGTTCCCCCCTTCTGTTAGCTGTTGTGTTTTGTGGATGGTTGGTTGAGATCGTGACTGTTTCAGTGTGTGGCACCCATGCAGAAATTTAAAGTTTTTATATAAACAAACGCCCCGAGTTGCTTTGATTTATTTCGCGACAAGAGATCGTCGGGGCGAGGGGAGATATGTACCGAGTGGGATGTTGCATTCGTCACCCCCGCTACTAATAAATCAGTGACATGCTGTATGCATTTGTGATTGTGTGACCAATCCCGTGTTTCGCGTCGACACGAAAAAAAAAAGCTGTGTTGTTTGTTCGGAGAGAGAGGTGGTTGACCAGTCAGTGCCATCCGTCGCTCGGTGCGATGGCGTTTTACTGCTGCCGCTCCTGCCCGAGCTGAGCCGAAAGTATAACTCGCTGGTAGGTCGGATCGACAGACACCATGCACGCTCGCTCGCTGTCGCCCTTGGCATACGAGCAACAACAACATTGATTGGGGACCGGCGAAAGAAAGCCTTTACCCACGAGCAGCAAGCATTGACGGCCACGTCAAACAAAGCGTACCAGTGTGTACCCTCGAGCAAAACAAGCAAATGACGGGCACCAAGTAGATGTGTCAGGAAGCTACATACATACCCACACAAACCAACATGTGCAGGGCACCCAAGATGAGCGAACAAACATGTGCAGCGCATCCAAGATGAGCGAACAAACACACGTGGCCCTCCCTACTGATATGAGACTACCACCCGAAGTTATCGGTCCTTTTTGTTCATCTTGCAACCAATTCGATGAGCGAACAAACACACATGGCCCTCCCGACTTATATGAGACTCCCACCCGAAGTTATCGGTCCTTTTTGTTCATCTTGCAACCAATTCGCGCCAGATTTATTTGCATCACAGTCAATCGCACCACCAGATAGATGTGGTAACCACTCAACTCTTGTAGTACCTCCCGTCGGCGTCGCCAACGCTGCTATTTTTCACCACATTCAGCACAGTTTGCTTTTGGGCGGGAGTGTTTGTGTGGAACTATGTGTCCCTTCAAACTTTCCTATCGCCTTACGTACGTGTACGTACGTACACCATTGTTGAAAGCAAGCGACGAAGAATGAGTATCGTTGGCGTTGCGAGTCCCAAGCTGGCGTTTTTTTTTGCTTTTCGTATCATCACCGTTCATGTACACCATGCAGCCCGGGGCCAAACAAAAGTAAATGACGATGACACGCATATGCTCGTGACGCTGCTGATGAGACCTTCAATTTGCGCCGCTTCTCGGAAGAGCCCGCCCCCACTTCCCAAGAAATGGTGAGAGGCGTCTAGAGGCGTCTAGAGGCGTCTAGACCCGAACTTTATTTTTTTTCGCTCTCGCTCTTAATGTCATGCTTCGCTCTCAATTTCACCACTAGTATGTTGTTGAGCGTCAGACCGGCTCAATCAATCACACCCTCAAACACCCTTAACTTGGGGCAAGATAGACAGACGCGGGAGAACTCTTGCACATAGCTATTTCCACATGACGCCATAAAATCGCGTCTGTCTCCCAGTGCCACATAACCATTCGGTAGTAGCGCGGCATCACACGGCTACCTCCAGATACCGCAACACACACACGGGAAGGGGGAGGTACTCATAGTCGTGCATGCCGTAGTCGTTAGACCATTGACCTCGCATCCCTACAAAGCCGGGACGGAGCACGCCGGGTTCTCACCGGACCAGGCTCTCACATCACCGAGCGCGCAGCGCCGTGAGATATTCGGCGAGTCGCATGAAGGGTGCGCTGCATCCTGCTTAGGGTGTTCGACACCTTGTGCTTACTTCCTTGCGTACAGGACGGGACGGAGGGGAGAAAACAAATCAAGCTGAAGGCGGGAGCTGTCGCAAACACACCACCAGCCAGACCTAGCCACACTGCGTGCAATTTATCCGTTATTTCGCGGCTTGCCCGAAAAAAAACGGGTCTTACGTTAACAGCCCGCCCCATCCATTCAAGACCCCCCCCATGCCACCC